CCCTGCGTTGAGAAATTGTACGCTTCCAAAGGTGTCTCTCGCAATATGGTTTAGAAGTTGAGCGAAGCTGCGTCTCAATTTGTTTACATGAGAGTTACTGACGCAAGCTTCGAGTATCTTGAGGAGGAGGAGCAAAGGAAGTGGGGCAGCCGCGTCTGACCTCCAGCAATCGGGGGTCGAGGCATAGAAAGGGAGAGACACAGGAGAAGGAGGATGATAATTGTTTGGGGAATGCAACAGGTGATGCCACGGAAGAGGAGGGGCGCCGGTGATGTATTGTCTATTATTGTAGCAGTTGTTGGATGGCCTGTCAGAATGCGGGGCCATCTGGCACGGCAAAGGCGCGCCTTTCTTCGTCTCGGCCCAGCAGTGTACAAGTCGCATGTACCTTTCACATGTGAATCGTATGGTCTTGACTTGTTTTGTGTTTCTTTCTACTCGACGTTGCTGTTTGAGCATAAGTCAAGCCACCGAACTCGGTGCAGTCTGCACTGTCCGTGAGCGCACAGTTTGAATGAGTCCTCTGCAGTGACATGCGAGGTTGGAGTGGGGCTACGCATGTATAGATTCATGGGTGGGCGCGCGCGTACACACTGCTACCACCCGGGGATCTCAAACTAAGGACCATCGGCGGACTGCCAACGCCACTTCGTTTGCAGATTCGGCGTCTCGGTGTGCCTTAGGTGGTGCTGCGCTGCCCCAAACGCCCACGGATGATATATCGGCTTCGCAAATGCCAGCACATCGTGATGCATATTCTGGAGACCAACGACCACGTGTATTTTGTTTCCACATGGTTTGACCGTTTGTCCCCACGTCCTGAATGTGTTTTGTCCCCACATCCTAAGTGGGGCTCCTGAGTTCTCTGGACATCCCGCGCAGTCCTGTCACCTCAACCCCTCTCCTCTTCTGCCTTCGCACGTTCACTCGCTGAATTACTCACGCACCATCATCATCATAACGCCTTCAGTTTCTTCTCCCTTCGTACACTCACTCAATCTTTCGCCCCGTCATCATCAGTCACACTTTCACACATGATCACTATGGTTCGCAATCAATCACTAGCACTTAATCGTTCACCCCATCATCATCAGTCACACATTTACCACTCACGATCGCACCATCACGCACTCAATCGCTCACACTCCATCATCACTGGCCTCATCATCATCTCAAACACCATCCTCCTCATCCTCATCATCATCATCATCATCATCATCATCACAATCATCACCGTCATCATCACTCACACTCGCCTGTGTGCCGGCTCGGGCAGGAGCCTCGCCGAGGCGTGAGGCCTGAATATGGAGGAAGTATCAGGCGGGAGCCTCGTCTGCGAGTGAATTGCGGAGAAGTCTCAGGCGGGAGCCCCCTCCCTCTGGGGCCCGCACCTCATGTTCGAATCCGAGGCGGGTCATGGGCCTCTTGTAAACGACGTCACTTTTGTTGGGCTCCTGAGGCCTGAATATGGAGGAAGTATACGGCGGGAGCCTCGTCTGTGAGCGAATTGCCAGGGAGTCTCAGGCGGGAGCCCCCTCCGTATGGGACCCGCACCTCATGTGCTTTCGCCGGGTCGTCCTCCGGCGCGCGCTTCCTTTGGATCGTCCTGCGGCGCGTAGCCGCTGGGACGCACATCGTGCGTTTCCTCCAGGTCGTGTTCCGCAGGAGGAAGAGGATGAGGAGAAGGAGGACGAGGAGGAGGATGAGAATGAGGATGCAGGACGAGGTCGAGAAGAGTGAGGATGGGGAGGAGGCAGAGGGGGAACAGGACGATGAGGAGGAGGAGGAGGAGGAAGAGGAGGAGGAACGCCCTAGGAGGCCCCAGGAGGTCCCAGGAAGCCCAGAACGCTTCAGGAGGCCCAAAGAGGCCCCAGGAGGCCCCAGGAGGAGGCAGGAGGCCTAAGGAGGAGGCAGGAGGAGGAGGAGGCGGAGGAGGAGGAAGAGGAGGAGGAGGAGCAGGAGGAGGAGGATGAGCAAAGGGAGGAGGAGGGTAAGGAGGAGGAGAAGGGAGAGGGAGAGGGAGGAACAGAAGAAGGAAAAGGAGGAGGAGGAGGTGATGGTGGAGGAGGCAAGAGGAGGAGGAGGCAGGGGTTCAGACAGGAGGAGGAGGAGCAGGCAGGAGGAGAGGAAGGAGACAGGAGTAGGTGGGGGATGGGGGGGAGCAGGAGGTATCCCCAGGCAAGTTAAACATATTATCATGTGGGGTCCTACGGTCAGGGTATTTTTGTTTGTCCGAGACACTCCGTGCAGGCCTCACCTCACACACCGTCTCCATCGTTGTTCTATCCACACTCATCTTTACCACCATCATCAAAGTCATCGTTATCATCATCGCCGCATTATTCGCATCACCATCACCATCCTAACCGCTATCATCATACACATCATCATCGCCGTCATTAACATGATCAACATCATCAACATCATTACCGCAATCTCCCATACCGGCAACATTACACATACTCGCACATCTCGCACGCAAGTTTCCGCTCATTTTCACGCCGATGCACATTTATATTCCTTCTGGCACACCTTTACACACATTTACACACGCACACACACTCATCTTACGGACGTCTCGAGCGGACGCGTCGTTCGTTGGTGAGTCGCGCGGAAGTTTCGAGCGATATTTTCTTCGTTATGCCCCCCTCCGCCTGCCTCATGTTATTAATCCGAGCGGGTCATCGGACAACCTGCAACCGTCCTCGTTCCGGGGTTCCTGAGGCCTGAGTGTGGAGGAGGTGTCGAGCGGGAGCCTCGGTTGTGAGTGATCTGGAGGATGCCTCGAGGGGATGCCTCGCCTGTGAGTGATTCGCGGGGAAGTCTCGCGCGGGAGCTCCACCCTTACGGGCCCCCACTTCACGTTTTTAATCCGAGCGAGTCATTTGAACACTAGTACCCTGTAGGGTGACACGCCCGACCTAACACAAACCATCGCTCGCCAGGCCCGACGTTTCCACCTCGCTGGCGGGCTCGGCGCGCGAGGTGCAGCGTCGCCGAGCCCGTCGCCGCGGCTCGGAGGCCGGGCAAGGGCTGCCAAATCCGTGGCTGCTAAAATCGACCTCCGGGAAGCTGTCTGCGTCGTTCCGGGAAGAAGTCCTTTCGCGTGCCGCGCATCATTCCGGGAGGTCGTTTTTCTCCTTCCGGGAGGGCCGTTTTGGCAGCCACGGTTTTGGCAGCGTTCGCCAACCTTCCGAGCGGCGCGGTGCCCTTGGCATCGCTCGGACGTGTGCATGTTTTCCTCTGGCGAGGACCATCGAGGAGCATCCTTGATCATTTGGCGAAACAACCACGCACGAAACCAATACAAAACACAGGGAATGGACGTCCGAGCGATGGCCAATGCCCGCTCCTCCCCCCCCCCCCCCCCGAGGCCCGGCGGCCGGCACGGGGCCTGCCGGGGCGGCGGGCTTCCCCTGCCCCCCCCCCGTGGCGTCGGGGGGGGGGCCGAGGGGGGCGCCGCGCGGCTCGCCGCCGAGCGGACACCGGGCGCGCAGACGACGTGCGCTCAGACGTGCGCTCAGGTCCCGGTCTATCTGCTTTCCGCGCTTGCCTACGTCAGCAGGGGAAGAAACACACAGACACAATGAATCGTCGATGCCCAGGAAAATACGGGAAAATATGGGAAGTGGGGGGGGGAGACAAAAACCCAGAACATTGGGAGAATATCGGGAATCTTTTCATCTGTGGGTATTTATTCGTGTGTCCCAGGGCCCCTTCACTACGGTAGGTTCGCTTTGTGTCGGCCCTCGTCGACCCCGCCGCGGGCATTCAAGGTTGAACGCCGCCAGTGGCCCAGAATCGAACAGCAGGAAACGATTGAGCGATCGACGAGCCGCCGATCGTTCAAGGTTGAACGATGCACGCGGGGTCAGAAGCCAAAGACGGGGTCGTCACGACACGAACCTGCCGTATCTCAAGGGTCGAGTGGCGTGGACTGCTGCCTTTCCCTTCGTCTTTCCCGGGGTGCTGGCGGAGGTCCAGCCTGCCCCAAGCGCCTTTCGGGGGCGCCCAAACGGGGCGGTGACCACACCGTGCGGTGAGTCGCTGGGGATTCGGGGTCACCTCACGGTTTTGGGACTCGGGTCCGTCTCTGAGGACGTCTCGGGCGACAGGGGCCTCCCGGGTCCCAAAACCGTGCGGTGACGGACCCTGCGGTGAGGTCTACGGTGTGTCACCGCACCGTCTCGGGACTCCAAATCAGGGGTCGAGTGGCGTGGACTGCTGCCTTTTCCTTCATCTTTCCCGGGGGCGGGCGGAGGTCCAGTCTGCCCCAAGCGCCTTCCCGCTTCGGGTGCAGGCTCACGCCTGCCGACAACCTGGGTGCCTTGCTGGGCGGTGCTCGCCTTTTCCACAACTGACTTGCCAAGCTGCCTGTAAATGTCAACGCGTAGGGATGAGCAGCCGCGGGCGCGCACGTTCTCTGATTTCCGACCGCCGCACAAGGTGAGACCTGTTTTGATGTTGGATGCAGTCGACGCCCGGTGCATTTGAGCCTCTCCAGGCCCTCCCTGAGATTTGAAGTGGCGAAACAAATACAACATCGGGACAGGTCACGACTGTATCCCCAGACCTTATGTTTCTGTGGCATTTTTGATGGTCCCAGGGGGCCCGAAACCAGGCGCTGAATGGCCCATTGTGAAAGACAGGGCTCGACCTGAGCAGTGTTTTGGTGATTTCGTGGGCCGCTTCGTTTCGATTTCGTCTTGCAGCAGAGGCGGATGGATCACAAAACGGGGGACAACGAAAACAAAACGAAAACGAAAACGCTGTTTAGCCTGGCATCGCTCGGACGTGTCCATTTTTGTCTCGGCGAGAACCATCGAGGAGCATCCTTGATCATTTGGCGAAAAAGCCACGCACGAAACCGAACAAACACACAGGGAATGGACGTCCGAGCGATGGCCAGTTAGGTGGATCCCTGGTGAAAGAATGCAGCGCCAGGGTCTCAGGGTCCCATCACTCGTCGACGTCTCCAGAGATGAGCCGGCGGTGCCCAGGGTGCGCGAGCGGCCCTGCAGTTCTATCCGGAGACGGCCAACCAGGTCGTGCCGCCCCGCCGTGCCTGCCAGCGGGCGCGCGGCGGTGCCAGGGGCGATACACATGCCGATCACGATGCTCATGATCCAGACGTGACAGTGATGATGAGGATGAGGATGAGGATGATGATCATGATCATGATCATGATGATGACGGTGGTGGTGGTGGTGGTGATCATGCTGATGATGGTGGTGGTGGTGATTGTGATGATGTTGTTGTGGATGGTGACGATGATGATGGTGGTGATGATGATGGTGATGATGAAGATGGCGATGGTGATGGGGCTGAGGCTGCTGATGATGCTGATGATGCTGATGATGCTGATGATGATTATGTTCGGGATGACGATGATGGCGACGATACGGATGCCAAGGACGATGTCGCCGATTATGACAAGAAGTGCGCTTCAGCCTGGTCGCATGTGGGGCTGCCACACGGCAAGCCTCAGAAGACTTTGGCCTCGCGGTGTCCAGCACGCTGGTGTACCCCTCTGCGCCGACCAGTCCGTTCTCTCTTCCTCTCCTCCCCCCCTCGCCTCCCCCTTCATTTTCCCGAAAAGAAGAGGACCTGGAACCGGTTGAGCATTTGACTGCCAGGAAGATCCGAGCGCCCGACGAGGGCCAGATCAGGAATGGTCGCCTCACAACGCGGAGCCCAAGGCCTTTGTAACGTGACGTCTCCCCAGAAGCGCAAAATGCGCCACGGACGCGATGGCCAACCAGCATCGTGCGCATATTTTGGACGACTGGTTCCTGTTCGCGCAATGGGCACAGTTCGAATGCGATCTCGCTTCTAGTCATCCTCGTTTTCCTTGTCTTGCTTCCTTCCTCCGTCTCTTCCGTCGTGTGTGCCCCAACGCAGGGCGCCAACACCACCTCGTTTCTTTGTCCGTGTCCAGAAGTGCGCGCGAAAGCCAATGGCAGGCACAAGCCATGCAGGAGCGAGAGCCGTGCAGAGGCCGAAGGAGGAGCAGCAGCAGGTTGCAGCACCAGCAGCAGCAGCAGCAGGAGGAGGAAGAGGAGGAGGAGGAGGAGGAAGAGCAGGAGCAGGAGGAGGAGGAGGAGGACCAGCAGCAGCAGCAGCAGGAGGAGGAGGAGGAGGAGGAGCAGGGGCAAGGGCGCAGTGCGACGATCCCCTGCGGCCCCAAGGGCCACTTATATCTATAGTTGAGCAAGACGGCGCACGGCGGCAGGCGGGAGGAGCGAAGCGACGAGAGGGAGGGAGGGAGGAGCGCGCACGCCGGACAGCAGCGGCCTGGGGCGAGCAACGCGACAGAGAACAGCCTCCCACCCTGACACGTCGATTAAGGAATTGGCCGTTTTCGGTTCGCGAGAGGGCGTCGCGGCCGTCATTTTTGCGGGTCCAGGTCCGTCGGTTTCGGTCCCAGGCCGTTTTCACTAAGGGGAGGTCTACTAAAGGGAGGTTTGTCCAGCGCCGATGTTCACCCCCAGGGGGGCAGAGAGGACGGAGAGAGGGGGGAGCGAGGGAGAGCGAGGGAAGGGAGCACTTTTTTGGTCTGCGGGGCGAGAGCGAGCCTCTTCCGGCAAAAGCTAGGCGGGCGACGCACAGCTCTAGTTGGGGAGACAGGGCACAGGCGGGCGGGGCCTGAGGCGGCCGGAGGGCGGGCCGGGGTGCAGGCGGTGCCGAGGAGCTTGCACAGGAGGGAAGAGAGCACAGTCAACCCGTAGAATCAGTTTCGGCATCCTTCCCAAGGATACCTGTGCATCCTTGCCTCCTCGGGTTCTAATTGACCGCGTTCGTTGGCCGTGCCCCGCTCGAAGGCTTCGAAATCGGCGTCCAAGGCCCTTGCATGGTCATCGCGCATCCTTGTGATACGGGCCGGCTGTAGGCCAACGAAGTCCTTCCCCGCACAGTCCCCCCTGCCTGCTCCCCGCACAGTGCTGCCTCGCTCCTCCCTCTTCCGCCGTCCTGGTGCTTCGGGGTGCTGGGGGCCCTTTCCGAACGTGCTGCGATCTCCGAGCGAAGCCCGCTGCCGATCCCAGTCGCCTACCGCCCTTTCCGGCCACGGTTTTCTCCTGGGTCATGGGTCGGCGTGGTTTGTGGTCTCCCCTGTGCTGGCCGGGGTCGTGGGGGCCCTCCCCTCCCCCCCTAATTCGGTGCATGTGGCCTGTCCTGGGCACGGCGCCTCGGCGCTACGGGCGCGGCTCCTGGCCGCGCCACGCCCGGCCAGCGCGCGCCGGACAATAAAAAGGTTTGTGGTCGAGAGGCGTTCAATCCATCTTCGTGGCCCCGCTGGAGGCATGCCTGGGGGATTCCCTGCATAGGCGTCCGTGCCGAGGCCAGGGCCACCATTGTCTCCATCTCCCATCTTGCTGGGGCCAGGACCGCCTTGGGCTCAGGATGGGCTTTGGTTCTCTTCGATCCAAGCCGGTGGATCTATTCGTGGCCGAGGCTCGCCGTGGCCAGAAACGTCCCTCTGATCCTTATTTTTCCTTCTGTATGGTAGCACGGTGGTAGTACATGAGGACGTGCACCATGCTCGAAACGATGCTCAGAGGAAGGACCAATCTCCAGAGCAGCAGCAGCATAACACACGAGGATGAGGCGCGGAAGGGCGAAGAGCGGACAGCAGGGTGCCGAGCGCGCTAGGGAGGTAGGAGAAGGGAAGAGAGCATCGGAAGAGGTGATCGTCAGAGGAGGTGAGAGCAGCAGAAGGAGGGGGATGAGGAAGAGGAGGAGGAGAAACGGGGAACGCAGGAGGAGGAGGAGCAGGAGGAGGAGGAGAAGCGGGGAACGCATGAGGAGGAGGAGGAATAGTAGTAGTAGTAGTAGTAGTAGTAGTAGTAGTAGTAGTAGTAGTAGTAGTAGTAGTCGTGGTGGTGGTGGTGGTGGTGGTGGTGGTGGTGTAGTAGTAGTAGTAGTAGTAGTAGTAGTAGTAGTAGTAGTAGTAGTAGTAGTAGTAGTAGTAGTAGTAGTAGTAGTAGTAGTAGTAGTAGTAGTAGTAGTAGTAGTAGTAGTAGTAGTAGTAGTAGTAGTAGAGTAGTAGTAGTAGTAGTAGTAGTAGTAGTAGTAGTAGTAGTAGTAGTAGTAGTAGTAGTAGTAGTAGTAGTAGTAGTAGTAGTAGTAGTAGTAGTAGTAGTAGTAGTCGTAGTCGTAGTCGTAGTCGTAGTCGTAGTCGTAGTCGTAGTCGTAGTCGTAGTCGTAGTCGTAGTAGTCGTAGTCGTAGTAGTCGTAGTCGTAGTAGGTAGTAGTAGTAGTAGTAGTAGTAGTAGAGTAGTAGTAGTAGTAGTAGTAGAGGAGGAGGAGGAGGAGGAGGAGGAGGAGGAGGAGGAGGGGAGGGGCGGAGGAGAAAGACGGACGCAGCTTTCGCAATCATGGGAGGAGAAGGAGGAGGAGGAGGAAAAGGAGGAGGAGGAGAGGAGGAGGAGGAGGAGGAGGAGGAGGAGGAGAGGAGGAGGAGGGGGAGGAGGAGGAGGAGGAGGAGGAGGAGGAGGCCGAGGAGACAGCCAACGAGGAGCTGGCGGAGAGGGCAGGGGCTCCCGGCCCAGGGGGCGCGACAGCCGTCTGTGGCCACGAGCCCCCTCCGCCTCTCCGGCGCTCCGCGCAGCTGCCCGGGGCGCGCTCCCCCGGCGGGTTCGCAGAGACCAATGGCGCCCGCGCCGCGACGCGCCGCGGCCGCGCCGCCGCCTCGCCACCGCCGCCTCCTCCTCCTCGTTTCCTCGTCTCCCTTCTCCTCTCTCCTCTCTCCTCGTCTCCTCTCTCACCTCTCCTCTCTCGTCTCTCCTCTCTTCTCTCTCTTCCCTCTTCCTCCTCCTCCTCCTCCTCCTCCTCCTCCTCCTCGCTCTCTCCTCCTCCTCCTGCGCCCGAGAGCACGAGAGGGGCGACCGCTCCAGGCCGAGCGCCGCCGCACGCGGACGCGCCACCGCCTCGAGATCTTTGCACGTCTTCGTTTCAGGCGGAAGACCCACAAATCGTCCACAAAGAGTCCGGGGTCGATGTTTGGAATATTTGGTGTACCACATTCGGGGCATCCTTTTTGACAATTTTTAAAATGTTCCGCGCATTCCCCTGTAGGGGGACATGCCCGACCGAAGTCTTCGTCGGTCCTCGGCGGTCTCCCAGCCCCGGGATGCTCTCCAGCAGCTGCGCCTCGCCGAGAGGCATCAGGGGGTGCCCCGATCTTTCCGAGCGGCCGCCAGGGAGCCGAGTTATGGCCCGAAGGCCAGGAGCTCGGCGTCGCTCGGACGCATGCGTGCTCTTCTCGGCGAGGAGCATCCGGGATCATCTTGCGGAGCAAAACACACACGGAACCGGCAACTGCACGGGGAGTGGGCGTTCGAGCGAGGGCGAGGGAGGCAACGTGTGTGGGGGGGGTACGATCGACATGGCTACGTACGCACTGAGCGGGGGCGAAGACCAACAGCAGCTCGGTGTCGCCGCGGGCGTGGTCCAACTCTACACGGAGCTGCCGCCTGCCCGGGAGCGGCCGCTGTCGATCGGGCAAAGCTTTTGCGGTGGGGCATCGTTCCCTCGTTGTCCGTGCCCGCTTCGGGCGGGCGTCCCAGAGGGGGGGTAGGACGGAGTCGGGCATGTCCTTCCACAGGAGGACTATCCAAACATAGTGAAACAAAATAGTAGGAGGACGCATTTCCTAGTATTCTAGTTGCTAATTCTTGAATGTGCTTTGACTATTCTTAGTTTGCCGTCCAAAATCCGCCTGAAGGAGGACACTCAGGAGGGTAACAAAAACACACAGACACACTTAATCGTCGATCCCCGAGAACACACAAGAAACTATGGGAGGTGGGGGCGGGAAGACAGCGACCCAGAACAGAAGGAAACATCAGGGGGGAAATCCTGGCATCTGTGCGTATTTCTTGGTGTGTCCCTGGGCCCCTTTAGACACGCCCGACCTACGAGCAGGATCCCGAATCATCAGGGGTAACTCGGGTCAGGGATAACTCGGGTTCGTTCTTCGGGAATCCAAACCCGAGTTACCCCGGACCCGAGTTATCCCGGATAACTCGGGCGTCCAGAGCCCCGAATCATCAGGGGTAACTCGGGTCAGGGCTAACTCGGGTTCCTTTCTCGGGAATCCAAACCCGAGTTACCCCGGACCCGAGTTACCCCGGATAACTCTGGCGCCCAATACGAGCAGGATCCAGGGGGAACGCGCCCACGCCGAGGCGCCCACTTCGTCTCCAACCAGGGGGGCCCAGCAGCCCGGCGCGCCGCCCGGGAGCCTGTGGGCCTGGCCTTCGGGGGCACGCGGCCGACCAAGCCCTGCGCCGCGCGGCCGATGGCCGGTCCATGTTTTTCAGGAGGGAAGAAAAACACACAGACACAATTAACTAGGGCTCCCTCGAGGGCGCGAAGTTATTCGCGCTTCGCGCTTCGCGGTCCTCGTTCCTTCTCCCCCTCCTCCTCGCCCTCCTATTCTCCCCCTTGGGGGGCGGCGCGAGAGCGCGAAGTTATTCGCGCTTCGCGCTTCGCGCAGCGCGAAGCGCGAAGTTGGGAGCCCTAGTTTTTCGGGAGGGAAGAAAAACACACAGACACAATGAATCGTCGACCCCCAGGAAAATATGGGAGAATATGGGAAGTGGGGGGGGGGGACAAAAAACCCGAAAATATGGGAGCAGATGGGGAATCCTTTTTGTTTGTGTGTATTTCTTTTTGCGTGTCCCGGGGGCCCCTTCAGTTTTGCCTCCCCGAGCCTTGTGGAAGTCGATTAGTGGAGGGGAAGCCTGCTGCCAAAGAGTTCCCAGATGTCTACGAGATGTTTCAAGCATGGCTCAAATATGTTCAAAAGATATGTCTGAAACATCTGTTGAACATGCTCTACACATCTTGAACTCATCTTTCATTCAGTGATAGGACTGTTGGAGTGTCCATTGTCACGGCATCCACAACCCGAGCCACTCCCCCCCCCCCTGTGTGGGCGTTTTTTAGACCACGGTTTTGCCGGTCGGTGCGGGCCCTTGCACCCCCCCCCTCCCCCCCCCCTCCCCCCTCCCCCTTGGACTAGATCTAGGCCGTTTTGCCGATCGGCGCGGGCCCTTGCGCCCCCCCCCCTCCCCCCCCAGAATAGGTCTTGGCCGTTTTGGGCGCCCGCTTGGAGCAGCTGGAGTCTCCCCCCGTCGGACGCACTGCTGCAAACAGTCGCACCGAGCAGAGATCCGGAGCCCTCCCCCCCCCTCCCTCGGGGTGACCCAACAGGGGGTCTAGCTGAAAGGGGGTGGTGCAATAGATTTGGGGCAATTGGATTGCCAATGTACTGCGCCGGAGAATTGTATTGCATTGTATTGCAAGTAATGTATTGCACGCGAAAACCCAACAATACATCTGCGCTCCGAAATGCATTGCACGTCTCAAATGTATTGCAACCCCACAAATCTATTGCACCAAATCTGCTGCACCACCCCCTTGTCGTTGGACCCCCTTTTGGGTCACCCAAACTCCTGCCCCTTCCTCCCAATGTCGAAGCGCCGAGTAACAAACAAAAACGCTTACTATTGTTGCCCCTCGGGCCTTTCCTGCGACCAGCTGCGAGCTCTACTCCCACGGACCCCCCAAATCTGCGCGCTGGGATGTCGCAGGCCCACTGTCGGTCTCGCTTGTCCGCGGGCATTCTGGAGCGGAGCCCCAGCTGGCGCTTCACAAGTCTGTCCTGCGGGGGTGTGCACATTGATTCCCTTCTGTAAGCCCACCAGGGGTCGCATGCCAATGCCCACTGTCGTGAGCGCACCCTTTCGAGTTGCCTGCAAAACTGAAGGGGCGGGGCACGGGGGGGGGAGGAGGGTGCATAGGTCTAGGCCTCCTGGATGGGGTCCGAGTAGATGGGGTCGGGGGATCGCGCCGCGTTGCCGATGCATCGGCGATGCGGCTCGATGTGGAGCCCGATTTTCTCCACGCCGACGTCGCCGGTGCATCGCCGACGTCGACGACGCATCGCTGGTGCATCGCCGATGCATCGCCGATGCATCGCCGATGTATCGGCGATGCGGCGCGATCCTCCGACCCCATCTAGTCCGATCCCATCTAGGAGGCCTCTAATAGGGGTGACGGGAGGGGATGAAAGGGGGAGTGGCAGGGAGGGAGGCATGTCGGGCGGGTGGGGGTGAAGAAAATGGCAGTTCAGGGGCCCTTTGGGGCCCCTTTAAAGAGCCAGTTGGATCCATAAAGAGAGCCTAAAGGGCCACTTTAGGTTTTTTTATGTTGGTCACGCCCCATTTGCCGCCCGCCCGAGCACGGGGGCAGGGGATGGGTACGGTGATAGTGTGCGAGACGGGGGACGATGGAAGGGATATAGCAAATCCTGCCCAAGCCCCTGGAGCTCGATGCGGCTGTCCAGTCGTGCTGCCGCGCACATCCATCACCGCACTTTCTGGGAACCCGAAGGAGAACTCAAGCAGTAACGTGGTAGTGCAGTGCAGGTGCAGCATTGGTTGGTTGCTGCGTTGCCTCTTGAGGTTTCCGTCGGCGCCTCTTGGGGGCATCTCGGGAGTCTGGGGGGTTTGCCTCGGGCACCTCGGGAGCCTCCCTGGGTCCGCCAGAGGGGTCTCGCGGCTGCCTTTCGAGGTGTCCGTTTTTGGGGGGGCCGTGGTTGCGGGACGGGAAAATGACCACAGCCACTGCTTCTTGTTTGCGCCGCCTTCCAGCCAGCCGAAAAAGAAGCAGTGGTTGTGGTCATTTCCCTGGTGCCAAGCTTAACGAAAATGACCACAACCACTGCTTCGTTTCTGCTGGCTGGAAGGCGGCAACACAAGAAAAGCAGTGGCTGTGGTCGTGTTCACGCCCCGTAGTAGTTTGCGGGTCCCGGAGCCGTCGTGGGAGCCTCGGGGCGATCTCTCGGGGCGCGGGCGGCCGTTTTCGGCCGGCGCGAGGGCAGGAGATGGCGGCCGCGGCGGCGCGACGGCAGCCCAGGGGCCGGGCAGAGGAGATTGTTTGCCTGCCGGGACGGCAAGGCACACCTTCCCGAGCAGTCACCGGGTCCCGTGCCTCCTGGAAGAGGAGGGCTCTTGGGGTGCCTCTTGGGGCCTGGTGCCTCTTGGGGCCTGGGGCTCTTGGGGCGCCTCTTGGGGTGGCCGTGGCGGCCCGAAGGCAGTCCAGGGGCCGGGCCAGAGGAGGTTGTTTGCCTGCTGGTGTGGACACCCGAAATGGGTACGGAAAGAATGGGTACAATGCCCAACATGACAAACGAACGTTGGGAGGAGGACTGGCTATGGGTATGGGTGCGGGTTGTCGGACCCTAGGGAACGCTCCCGTTCGAGCGGGGACCCCCATCCAACAACACGCACCCATAGCCCTTTCCGACCCCCCTATGGGTATGGGTGTGTGTTGTTGGTTCGTCGTCACAACAGTTCCTGATCATTCTGAACAGGACTCGCTGTCCGCGCCGCCGCGGCCCGTGTCCATTCGGAACAGAAGGCCGCCCAGCCCAACAGCGGCCGCTGCTGCTTTTGGGCAACATGTGTTGTTGGGCATTGTATTCATTTTTTCCGTACCCATTTCGGGCGTCCAAAGTTGGGATGACAAGGCACATTTTCCTGAGCAGTCACTGGGTCCCGTGCCTCCTGGAAGAGGAGGGCTCCTAGGGTGCCTCCTGGGGCCTATGGCTGAGCGGTGCGCCGCCGTCGGATCGGCTCTCTGGGGCAAGGCCGATGCCGTCAGAGGACGTGCGTATGCGAGCCTTCTTGGGCTGTCTTGATGGCTTCTGCAGGCGTGTCTTACATCGTGTGGGGCCGTCTCTGGAAGGTTTTCGGCCGTTTCGGGGCCAGCCCAGGACCTGCCCAGGGACTCCATGAGCGCCTTGGGGGTGCGCCGACAGCTTAAGCGGCGACTGAGCGAAACATGCGGAGACGTGTGGTGTAACAACGAGTAGCTGCTGGGCCAGTTTTGCGGGTGGTGGGGGTCGCGATGCAGAATCAGTAGAGCCGAATTGTCGCATTGGATTCGAGACATTGATACTCTGGGCCTCTTTGGTTGGGGTCGGAGTAGAAGGGGTCGGAGGATCGCGCCGCATCGCGGATGCATCGGCGATGTGGAGTCCGATCTTCTCCACATCGACGTCGGCGATGCCTCGCCGACGTCGCCGATACATCGCCAATACATCGCCCATACATCGTCGATGCATCGTCGATGCGGCGCGATCCTCCGGCCCCTTCTACTCCGACCCCAACCAGGAGGCCCCTAGATGCACATGTGTGTTACTATCTTTGTTTGTCACGGGTCAACGCTGTGCTGGTGCCCCAATTGGTCCTCTGCGGGCAGAGTTGATGCCCTGGGTCAGAATGTGATGTCAACAGCCGATAAAAACGCTCGCGCCCGAAACTTACGTGACTGACAGAGAGCCCAATGTCCATGCCGTTTCGCGAATTCCTATCATCCCATCCTAAACCGATCGCCAGGCGAGCTGCCTTGATGAGGGAAGTCCAGTGAGGAGCGGGGAATATTGAAGAACACGTATGAAGCCCGTACCTCCCCAACCCGAAATTCGGGTCTGCGGGTTGGGTTGGGGTGGTCTGGCAGGCAGTCACTGCCCCCCTCTTGCTCGAGAGCTCGGGCGGGGTGCGGTCGATCTGCCGGGGGCGGTGTTGCCCCCAGGGGCGCGCTGCGGAGAGGCGCGTGCGCTCGCTCGCACACGCTGGCGATCATCGTGCCCCAAGAGCCTAGAGATCGCGGCGTGCGCCACGTCCGCCGACCCATTGATTGACCCCGCGAGGCGGGGGCCGTGACGGGGCCTCCCTTCGGGGAAGCAGCACGCAGATTTCGCGACGATGGGAGGAGGAGGAGGAGGAGGAGGAGGAGGAGGAGACAAATGATGATGATGAGGAGGAGGAGGAAAAGGAGGAGGAGGAGGAGGAGGAGGTACAGGAAGGACGTACCGTTTGGCAGGCGTGTGCCTGTGCCCTTTCGGGCAGGCAGCTTTGTCCTCGCCTCCTGTGTCTTCCTGTTCTGCTTTTGGCCTGTCCGACTTCACGTGTTGGCCTCCAGGCCCGAGTCGGCAGCGGAGCGCGATTTCCCTACAGACGCTACAGTCCTAGGACTAAAGTTCGCTCAAAGCCAAACAAAAGGAGCCAGCCTCGATAGGCCCCCCGAGCAGGCGCAGTCCCGTGCGGCGGGCGCGCTGCTGCCGCTGGCGCTCGCGGCGCTCGCCGCCCTGCTCCTGGGGCAGGCCCTCCCGTCGAGCACGCGGGGAGGGCGGAGGACGTTGGACGCCGCCCCCCCATGCGTCCCTCCCCCCCCTCCCTCTCCAGATCTCCGACGAGATGTCCTTCTCAATCAAGGGGGCGGCAAAGAGGGGGGTGATGACTAGGGGGGGGGATATCATGACGGAGGCCATGATATTTCCCCAGATGTTATGGCGCCTCTTCTGATTTCATTACGTCCCTGGCCCCCCCGCTGGGCCGCGCACATGCCGCTGGTCATGATTTGCACCCCCCCCCTTTTGGATACCCCCTCTGGGCCGCTCCCGACAATCGGGGCGCGCCTCCACGATCGCGGCCTCTACAGGCCGTCCTCGGGCCCCAGGACCATCCAGAGCGGATCCGAGGTTCGAGAACTACCCCCAGGGAAGGGGTCGGGAGCTCTGGGGCCGCGGCTTGGGTAAAACACGCCCTGGATGTCAGGGTCGGTTCCTCCCTCCTCCCTCCTCCACCAGACCCCCTCGAGTCGTGGCAGAAATCTCGACGGGAGAGTTTTTGACACTCCCGACCCTTTTCTGCCCTCCGCCCCTCTCTCTGCTTCCCCCCCCCCCGCTCCTCTCCCTTCCCGCCGCTCTTCGACATCCCCACAGCTCCTTGGCTCTCTCCTTCCCCAGACCCCCTCGAGTCGTGCCAAGCATCTCGACGGGAGGTCTTCGACGCTTCTCGGCTTCCTGGGAGCCCTCGCCAAACCCCGATAACCTCAAAGACGGGGTGGGGATGCGATGCGGGTCCCAGGGGACGGCGCCCAGACTCTCTGGTGGTCCGCGTCGTGGAGAAGTGGCGGCGTCGGAGGTCTGGGGCTTCTCCCCCTCATCTTCTCTCTCTTCCTTCCCCCCCTCTTCTGCCCTTCACCCTCCTCTCCGCTTCCTCCCCCCCCGCTCCTCTCCCTTCCCGCCGCTCCACTACATCCCCCCGCACCCCCTTGCTCTCTCCCTCCCAGGTCCCCCTCTCCTCTCCCCTCCCGCTCGTTCCCCCTCCCGCTCCCTTCCCCCCCCCCCTCCCTAGCCGACGATCGCCGCCAGCGATGCTGGAGGTGGGGCGGAGAGGGGGGAGGCGGAGGAACCCAGCTGTGCGCGCCACCGCTGCTCCCGGCGCCGCCACCGCACCACCAAGAGGAGGCGGTCGAGGATGCGCAGGAGGAGGGAGACGAGAGTGAGAACGAGGAGGAGGAGGAGGAGGAGGGGGCGGACGGGGAGCGACACGTGGACGATGATGATGATGATGATGATGATGATGATGCTGCTGCTGATGCTGCTGATGCTGCCGATGCTGCTGATGCTGCTGATGATGATGATGCTGATGATGATGAATATGCGGATGCCGCTGCTGCTGATGCTGCTGATGATGCTGATCATGATGATTATGCTGATGCTGCTGATGCTGCTGCTGATGATAATGATGATGATGATGATGATGGCGATGATGATGCTGCTGCTGCTGATGATGATGATGATGATGATGGCGATGGCGATGATGATGATGCTGATGATGATGATGATGCTGATGCTGCTGATGCTGCTGATGCTGCTGATGATGATGCTGATGATGCTGCTGATGCTGCTGATGCTGCTGATGCTGCTGATGCTGCTGATGCTGCTGATGATGGTGACGATGATGCTGCTGCTGCTGATGATGATGCTGATGCTGCTGCTGATGATGGTGATGATGCTGCTGATGCTGCTGATGCTGCTGATGCTGCTGATGCTGCTGATGATGACGATGATGATACTGCTGCTGCTGATGATGATGTTGATGCTGCTGATGATGATGATGACGACGCTGACGACGATGATGATGATGATGATGATGATGCTTATGCTGCTGGTGCTGCTGATGCTGCTGATGCTGCTTATGCTGCTGCTGCTGATGATGATGCTGATGCTGATGCTGCTGCTGCTGGTGATGATGATCATGATGCTGATGATGGCGATGACGATGGTGATGATGCTGATGATGATGCTGTTGCTGCTGATGCTGCTGATGCTGCTAATGATGTTGATGATGACGGTGATGATGCTGCTGATGATGATGATGCCTATGCTGCTGCTACTGCTGATGATGATGCTGATGATGATGATGATGCTGATGATGATGATGGTAATTACGATAACGATGATGACGATGATGATGTTGCTGATGCTGCTGATGACGATGATGCTGCTGATGACGATGATGATGATGATGCTGTTGCTGCTGCTGATGATGATGATGATGCTGATGCTGCTGCTGCTGATGATGATGATGATGCTGCTGATGCTGCTGATGCTGCTGAGGATGATTACGATGATTATGCTGCTGCTGCTGATGCTGCTGATGATGATGACGATGATGATGATGATGCTGCTGATAATGATGATGATGACGATGACGATAATGATGATGATGATGATGATGATGCTGCTGCTGATGCTGCTGATGCTGCTGATGCTGCTGATGATGCTGACGATGATGCTGCTGATGATGCTGATGCTGCTGCTACTGATGATGCTGATGATGACGATGATGATGCTGATGATGCTGATGCTGATGATGATGCTGGTGCTGCTGATGATGATGATGCTGATGATCATGCTGCTGATGCTGATGCTGCTGATGCTGATGATGATCATGATGATGACGAAGATGATGCTGGTGCTGCTGACGATGATGATGCTGATGCTGCTGCTGCTGATGATGTTGATGATGATGATGACGATGACGATGACGATGACGATGATGATGATGATGATGATGACGATGCTGATGTTGCTGCTGATGCTGCTGATGCTGATGATGATGATGATGACGATGATGACGATGATGATGCTGCTGCTGATGATGATGCTGGTGCTGCTGATGTTGATGATGATGCTGCGGATGCTGCTTATGCTGCTGAGGATGATGACGATGATGACGATGATGATGTTGCTGGTAATGCTGGTGACGATGATGCTGATGCTGCTACTGCTGCTGCTGATGATGATGATGATGATGATGATGTTGATGACGATGATGATGATGATGCTGCTGCTGATGATGATGATGATGACGATGATGATACTGCTGCTGCTGATGATGATGATGATGATGATGATGATGATGATGATGATGATGATGACGATGACGATGACGATGACGATGCTGATGATGCTGCTGATGTTGATGATGATGATGATGCTGATGCTGCTGATGCTGCTGATGCTGCGCTGGCGTCGCCGCTGCTCCGCCGACGTCGCGGATGCATCGCTGATGCTTCGGCGATGCGGCGCGCTCCGACCCCGTCGACCCGCACCCCATCGAGGGAGGCCTCGCAGAGCGCCCCCTGCTGTCGGACCCGCATCTAGGCAGCCCCGAAGACCGCCCGTCCTGTTCTCGACGACGCGAGCGAGCAGGTCTGGTACAGTGAAAAACTCGTCCCTCCTCCTTCCCCCCCTTCCTCCTTCCCCTCCGTCCTCCTCCTCCTCCTCCTCCTCCTCCTCCTCCTCCTCCTCCTCCTCCTCCTCCTCCTCCTCCTCCTCCTCCCCCTCCCCTCCCCCTCCACCTCTTCCTCCCCCGAATTATTCATTTTCCTATTATTGCCAGGGGGTTTATTAAAGACCCATTGGGGTTGCCAGTCGGGCCGAACGAAAGGGGGGGATAGGGAAAGGCACCCTGCCATATTGGGCCCTGGAAACCACAGGGCCGTTTTGTGACCGGCTCCGTTTTGCCGCTTTTGTTGCCAGTTCCGACGCCGTTTTTGGTACCGGTTCCGTCGCCGTTCTTTGACAGGTTCCCGCTCCGGCTCCAATCCTGAAGCCGTTTTTTTGCCGTTTCCGGTCGCCGTTTTTTGCCGTTCCCATTTTCAAGGGACATTTTTCGGGGAAGCGGTGAAAAATGGCCCTGCCGTTTCCAGGGCCCACAACGCACCCTGCATCCCTGCTTCTTCGGCCCATCCTAAGCCAATGTTGACCTGCAGGGAGCTCACCATGGTGTCGGTGATTTCCAGGGTCTTGAATCTTGATCCTGCATCCTTGCTTTCTGTTTTGCATGTGAATGCTGAGGGGCGTGGTGAAGCCAGAAAGGGAATCTCGGGCCGCGCGAAAGGGTAGGAGGGAAAGGGGGGGGGGCGGAATCTGCTGCATGCAGCCGGTTTCGGCCCCGCCGCCGGGCCCCATTCCGCGATTCACAGGCGCCTACCGGCGCCGGGGGGCGCTGGGAAAATCAGCTATACGTGAGCTGATTCTCTACCCTACCCTTTGCTATCCCACCCTTACGTTTCCCCCGCTTTAAGTCGGGCGTGCCCCTCTACAGGAGGAATCATCAACAATAGTCAAAACAGAGTCAGGAGTCAAGTCTTTGCGTATGCTTGACTATTTCTTAAAATATTTGTTTCGGGTATTTTTAATGTTTCGTTCGAAATCCGCGTGTAGGAGGACACGCCCGACCTAAAGCTCTGGGTCTCCCAGATTCGAACAAGAAAAACGCCATAAGCATCAACTTTTGGCGCTCCGTGCAGATTTCTTGGATCCGCGCTGGGCCCCACCCTGGCGGCGCAGATCCAAGACATCCGCGCGGAGCGCCAAAAGTTTCTGTTAATGGCGTTATTTGTTATTCTTCTGTAGATGGCGTCGGAGTAGTTGGGTCGTGGGATGCCGCCACATCGCCGACGCACCGCCGATGCGGCTCGATGTGGAGCCCGATTTGCTCCGCGCTGGCGTCGCCGCTGCACCGCCGACGTCGCGGATGCATCGCTGATGCTTCGGCGATGCGGCGCGCTCCGACCCCGTCTACCCGCACCCCATCGAGGGAGGCCTCGCAGAGCGCCCCCTGCTGTCGGACCCGCATCTACGGCAGGTTCGCGTCGTGTCGACCAGCGGCGACCTCGCCCGCGGCGTTTAACGTTGAACGCCGCTGGCGACCCAGAATCGGTCGATGTTGAACGATTGGACGTTGCGGGAACGGCCGATCGTTCAAGGTTGAACGATCCCTGCGGTGTCAAAAACCAACGCTGGGGTCGGCACGACACGAACCTGCCGTAGGCAGCCCCGAAGACCGCCCGTCCTTTTCTCCGCGACGGGTTCCCTGCAGAGAGCCCCCGGCCCACATCCGCTCAGAATCTCGGGCCGAACGACAGGGGGGAACAGGGAAAAGGGGGGTACGAAATCTGCTGCCCGCAGCTGGTTTCGGCCCCGCCGCCGGGCCCATTCCTCGATACATGGGCGCCTCCCGGCGCCGGGAGGCGCCGGGAAAATCAGCTGCGTGAGCTGATTCTCAAACCCTCCCCTTTGCTATCCCCCCCTTTTTGCCCGGCCCGAAAATCGATCCCCAGACCCCTCCCCAGGCCAATCCTGACCGGCTGCTCGACGCGGATCCTGCCGTGGTGGCGCCGAGAAGCCCCGAGGAGGCCCACGGAGGTCGAACCCCGCCAGGGGCGGCCGCCGTCGTCTCGGCGGGCCCTCCTCCGACGTCTTCGCCGCGGCTTCTCTTCAGATCCAGGCAAGTCTGCCGATTCCCCCCCCCCCCTCCGCCGCCTGAAGCGACAGCTCTGCGCCGGAAAGGCGTGCAGGTGAGCCCCGAGCTGCGTGAAGGCCAGATTCCCTTCTCGGACCTCACCAGGCCCCCCCCCTCCCCCTCTCTGTGCAAGCAAGCTTGCCATAACCTAATTATGAGCTGCTGCGGGTGTCGCCGCGAACGTTCTTCACTTGATACAGCAAGTCGCCCGCCCAACAGCGGCCGCTGTCGGTTTTACGCAGACAACATTTGCTGTTGGGCATCGTGCCCATTTTCGCCGCACCCACTTCGGGCGTGTCAATCGGTGATGTTGCTTTTGCTTCCCGACGCACGACGGTTGGTCGTTGTCGTCGCCTGGTCGTGCGTCGTCCGTCGTCACTCGTCGTCGTCGTCATCGTCAGTCGTCGTCGTCGCCGTTGCCGTCGCCGTCGCCGTCGCCGTCGCCGGCAGGCCGTCCGTCGTCCGTCGTCCGTTGTCCGTCGTCCGTCGTCCGTCGTCCGTCTTCCGTCGTCCGTCGTCCGTCGTCCGTCGTCCGTCGTCCTCGCCGTCGTCCGTCGTCCTCGCCGTCGCCCGTCGTCGTCGCCGTCGGCCGTTCGCCGTCGCCGGTGGCCTCGGAGAGCGCCCCCTCCCGCCGGGCCCCGGGGCAGGCCTTCACGGCGCCCGCGGCAGCCCGTGCGGCGCCCCCCGCGGGCGCCGAGGGGGCCCCGCTCGCGCGGGGCCCCGGCGCGGAGGCTGGGCGGCCTCTTCGCATTGGCAGCAGGAGGAGGAGGAGGAGGAGGAGGGATTCTGCTGGATTCTGCTGTCTAGAGTGCCTTCCCAAGGAAAGATGAAAGGGTGCCTGCTCGCTCAGTGCAGCGCCTTCTGCGCGACATGTGAACGCATTGTGCTCCTATGTGCGGGGACCGTCAACTGACCATTCGGCATTTGCTAAAGCCAAGCGAAACCAAGAAACACAATTGATGAGAGCGCGCAGCAAAGCAATGAATGACCACAAACGTTGCGTATACACTTTACAAGAGCTCTGGTCCTTGAGGGCACCACCACACATGCAATATCAAACTGGCAACGTTGACGTATGCAGCGTAAATTACCAGCCCAATCTGAAGCTGAGAACATGAACCTGACAGCAAAGTGAACCCAGCATATGAGACAACAACGTCGCAAATTGATTGATAAATCAACCCACCAACATTGCTGACAAAAAAACAACCGTAGTGGAGCTCGTGGGCCAGCTGCCCCGCGTCTGCCTGGCTTGCCCCGTAGGGCCTGGGCCAGGCTCAACCATGACAGCCGCAGCACTCCTCCACGGCGGACGCGATGTCCCTCTTCCGCGATACCTTGTAGGTGGCGGCGCGCTCTCCTGGCATGGCAGGTCGGGCCCGAGCCTGCTGCCATGTGGACCGCTAGCCTCGCCGAAGGGCCACAGCAAGCAATGCTCCCTCCGTCCGTCATCAGCCGCCTAGCCCTGTTCCTGCGCGCAGTGCGCCCGGCCGAGCTGCTTGCTTGCACCCAGAGGTGGACGAGGAGGGGCAAGCGGAAGAGGAGGACGAGAAACGGGGCCGGGTGCATCACACTCGCCGTGCTGCATGTATCTTGCGCGCCTTCCCCTCTGCCGGGCACACCGTCGGCCGGCCTAGACCGCAGCAGAGGAGGTGCATGGGGCTCCAGCTGCCAGTGCCATTCCCAAGTTTGGCATCCTGAACTCGGAAGGGCCGTGCGCGCGGGGCGCTTACGAGAGGAATGGATAGGAGGAGGAGGGAGGAGGAGGAGGAGGAAGAGGAGGAGGATAAGGAGGCGGAGGGAGGAGGAGGAGGAGGAGGAGGAGGAGGAGGAGGAGGAGGAGGAGGAGGAGGAGGAGGAGGAGGAGGAGGAGGAAGAGGCCGCCGAGGAGGCCGAGGATGGCGGTGCTGGGATCTGCCGCGGGGCCCCCTCCTCCCCCCCTGGGGCCCTGGCCGCCCCGACAGGCGCGGCAGCTCCAGAGCGGCAGGGGCGCCGCGGCAGCGGAGGAGCCTTTGCCTGGGCCCCGCGGCCCAAGCTCTGCCTGGGCGAGCATCGGCGGCATCGCAGTAGGCACACGAGGAGCAACGGGGGTGGACAGACCTCCTACCTTGACACGTCGATTAGCGAATTGGCCGTTCTCGCTTAGCGAGAGGGCGTCGCGGCCGTCATTTTTGCGGGTCCAGGTCCGTCGGTTTCGTTCCCAGGCCGTTTTCATTAAAGGGAGGTTTACTAAAGGGAGGTTTCTCCACCGCCGAGAGGAGGAGAAGGAGGAGGAGCAGGAGGAGGAGGAGGAAGAGAAGGAGGAGGAGGAGGAGGAGGAGGAGGAGGAGGAGGAGGAGGAGGAGGGGGAGGAGGAGCAGGAGGAGGAGGAGGAGGAGGAGGAGGAGGAGGTGGAGGAGGAGGAGGAGGAGGAAGAGGAGGAGGAGAAGGAGGCGGAGAAGGAGGAGGAGGAGGAGGAGGCGGAGGCGGAGGCGGAGGCCGAGGAGGAGGAGGAGGAGAGGAGGAGGAGGAGAGGAGGAGGCGGAGGCGGAGGCGGAGGCGGAGGCGGAGGAGGCGGAGGAGGCGGAGGAGGCGGAGGAGGAGGAGGAGGCGGAGGACGCGGAGGAGGCGGAGGACGCGGAGGACGCGGGAGGCTGAGGCGGAGGCGGAGGCGGAGGCGGAGGAGGAGGAGGAGGAGGAGGAGGAGGAGGAGGAGGAGGAGGCGGAGGCGGAGGCGGGAGGCGGAGGCGGGGCGGAGGGGGGCATGAGGAGGAGGAGCGGAGGAGGAGGAGGAGGCGGAGGAGGAGGAAGAGGCGGATGAGGATGAGAAGGAGGAGGAGCAGGAGGAGGAGGAGGAGGAGGGAGGAGGGAGGAGGGAGGAGAGAGGAGGCAGGAGGGAGGAGGGAGGTGGACTTAAGAGGAGGAGGAGGAGGAGGAGGAGGAGGAGGAGGAGGAGGAGGAGGAGGCCGGTCGTTGAAAGTAGGTCTTTCAATATTCACAGGTCCCTACCTAATTTAAGCGCCTTCCTATTCCAAGGATCGACTGGTTTCCTTCTTCCCTCCTCTTCAGGGGGCGGGCGGAAGCCAAATTTTCTTCCAACGCCTTCCTACTTTCTGTTTCTACCCACTTCTTCCGGCCGGCGTGTGCAGTGTTGTTCGGCGGAGCGCAGAGCGGGGACACTTATTTACAAGGCTCGAGTGCGCCGGAGCTCGGGTTTTTGGGCGGCGCTGTTTGAGGAGCGCGTCCTGGGTTTTGAGGGCCCAGTTTTCGTGGGATGTTTGCAGCGGGATGTGGCGTCGAATTTCAGACGGTGCCTCGTCATATTTTCAGGACGGCCCCGTCAGGCCAACCCGAGTCCCCCGCACACGAGTCTTACGCCCCCCCCGAGCAGGGAGGGGTAGGGGGAGCGCGGAAGGCTGCTTGGAACCACCCCTGCCTCTTGGAAGGCGCGGCCCTTGTCCATGGATGCAAGGCCGGGAGCGTTCTGAAAAGCAGCCTCCTCCTTCAATGTGGAAGAAAAGTGACATAAGCATGAAAACTCAGAGGTCCGCGCGGATTTCTCGGATCGGCGCTGGACCCCCCTCCTTGGCGCGCGGAGCGCGCCAGGGGCGGCGCCGGAGGCGCTTCCGGGGGGCCCCAGCGCCGATCCGACAAATCCGCGCGGACCTCCGAGTTTTTATGTTCATGCCACTCTTTGTTCAAAGCGTGAATTACCTACCCCGCTTCCGCTTCCAGGCAAAGCCAAGTCGCACCACGCGCCTCCTCGTCCAGCGGCCTGACCAGTGCAGGCCGTAGCTTGGCATCGTCTGGTATCTCTTGGAATCCAAGGGTGGTCAAAAGCGAGGCAGGTCTGTTTTCCCCCGGAAAGCCCCAGCATTCGAGGCTCCAGGAGCTCTGTTTCTCGCTATTTTCGTGTCGGCCTCCAGGTTGCATGCTGCGCTCCCGCGGTCGCCGAGGGGTAATCGGCGGGATGGCGACGTCGGCAGGAGTGGCCGGTCTCCTGATTCCCGACGACTGTTTTCTTCCGGACGGGGTTCGATTGCCACGTCCCCCCGTGGAGGGTGGGACGCTCGAGGAAAATCGTGTCGGCCTCCAGGGGCGCCCCCCGGGCCCAGGGGAGGCCGTCCGAGGTCGACCCGGGGCGAGATGCGGCCTCGCGTGGGCCCCGGGAGGCGGTCGTGTTCTGCGGCACGGGCCTGCCGGATCGGCGCGGGCCCGGGCATCCCTCGGCCCCCCCCTCCCTCCCTCGCGATGGAGCAGGTTTTGAGTCGGGCAGGGGGAATATTCGCAGATAGTCTAAACATGGTCCGGGGACTCTATTTGTTTTTGATGTCCTTGTTCGACCATTTTTGAGCATTGTTTGAGCATGTTTTATCTTTCGTCAAAGACCCCCCTGTGGGGGGACACGCCCGACTTCACCCTGGCATCCCCCCCCCTCTTTCCCGATGGAGTAGATATTGCCTGTTTGGGGCGCCTGCTTCAAGCAGGTGGACGGCACCCCATCGGATTCCCCATGGGAGCGCTGTTCCCCCAGTCCCCCCCCCCCCTCCCTCCCAATGGAGTAGGTCTTGCCTGTTTTGGGCGCCTGCTTCAAGCAGGTGGGCGGCACCCCATGGGATTCCCCACGGGAGCACTGTTCCACACAGTGGCACTCAGCAGAGGTCCAGAGCCAGACCCTCCTCTCCCTCTCCCCCCCTTTCGCTCAATGTCGAAACGCCGAACAAGAAAACGTTCACGAGAGGTTCTGGGTTCCGCGTTTGAGCGGGTTAGCGTCGTGTCGACGCGGCGGCGACCCTTACGCTGGCGTGCAAGATTGAGCGCCGCTGGAGGCCCAGAATCGGCCGATGTCGAATGATTCGTGCGATCCAAAAGCCGCGGGTCGCTCAAGGTTGAACGATTCTCGGAAGCCTCGAGACGAGGGTCAGTGCAGACGGGGGTCAGCCAGAGCGCCCGATCTTGCAGGATCCTGCGGGGCTATTGTCGCATTGACCCGGGTTTGGGTGCAGGATCCTGCGGGATCTTGCAGGATCCGTCGCGTTGACCTGGGTTTGGGTGCAGGATGGATTTGGCGGGATTCTGCAAGGCCTGACTGATGGATTGACCGAGGACTGTATTGACCCGGGTCAGAAGATCCTCGAAGTCCGACTTGCCGCACCGATGCCTCTGCCCTTCCCGTCTCTCTCTCTCTCTCTCTCTCTCTTTCGGGCCTCCTTCCCCCCCCCACCGCCTCGTCGCCACGGCAATATTCACGAGGGGACAAAACACACAGACACAATTAGTCGTCGTCTCCCAGGAAGATATGGGAAAATACGGGAAGTGAGGGGGAAGACAAAAACCCAGAAAATATGATCAAGTAATTCGGAATTATGTTTTTATTTGTATTTATGTGTGTGTCCCAGGGCCCATTCTAAGATTCGACCCGACGTGCCCTCTCGGGGCCCTCTTCGGACGCCTCTTGGGGCCCTCTTGGGCTGGCTCGGGGGCCTCTTTGGCGATCTTGAGGCCGCCTGGGGCCGTCCTGGGACGATCTTCGCCGTCTTGCCACGTCTTTGGGCCATCTTGGGCCGTGTCGAGGCCATCTGCAGCCGTCCGGAGGCCATCTCGAGCCTCCCCTCCAGAACGCCTCAGAGGCAGCAGAGTCTGGTCTGATGGTTCCCAAGAGCTGTGCTGGTGTGGCTGCGCGCGAGATCCGACCTCTCCCTTCCTCCCTCCACTTGGCATCGCTCGGACGTGTGTAGTTTTCTCGGCGAGGGCCATCGAGGAACATCTTGGGTCACCTTGCGAAGGATCGAGACATGCTCGTGGAATGGACGTCCGAGCGATGTCCAGTCCAGCCCTTTTCTATTGGGACGAAGAACGACATTGACATACAAACTCGGAGGTCCGCGCGGACTTCTCGGATCCGCGCTGGACCCCCTAGTTCTCAGGACTTCAACGCCACGAGTCAACCTGACCGTGGCGTCTCGACGATCTCGGACCGTGCCAGAACACCATCCTTGGGAATCCAACAGCGAATGAGCCGGACTGTCTCACCCTGACAATCCTGAACCGTTCCAAATCACAATTCCTGCTATGTTCGAACTCTAGCACGCTAAGGCGACAGCCACATGTTGAAAATAACCAGCCGTCAACCTGTGAAACTCTTAATTGTTTGTGTTGAATGAGTGCGCGCGGCGCCAAGGCGATAGGCACATTTTTTCAACCACCCGCCCTCCATCTTTGGAGGCGTAGTAGGAGGAGGAGGATGAGAAGGAGGAGGAGGAGGAGGAAGAGAAGGAGGAGGAGGAGAAAGAGGAGGAGGAATCATCGGGGGAGGAGGAGGTGGTGGAGGAGGAGGAGGAGGAGGAGGAGGAGCTGGAGCTGGAGCTGGAGTTGGAGGGGGAGAAGGAGGAGGAGGAAGACGAGGATGACGAGGAGGGGAGGAGGAGGAGGAGGAGGAGGAGGAGGAGGAGGTGGAGGAGGAGGAGGAGGAGGAGGAGGAGGAGGGGAGGAGGGGGAGGAGGAGGAGGAGGGCGGGAGGGAGGAGGGAGAAGGAGGTGGAGGCGATGGAGGAGGAATAGGAGGGGTGGAGGAGGAGGAGCTGGAGGAGGAGGAGGAGGAGGAGGATGATGATGATGAGCAGGAGGAGGAGGAGGAGGAGGAGGAGGAGGAGGAGGAGGAGGAGGAAGGAGGAGGAGGAGGAGGAGGAGGGGCGGAGGAGAGGGAGGAGGAGGAGGAGGCGGAGGAGGACGGGGAGGAGGCGGAGGAGGAGGAGGAGGTGGAGGCGGAGGAGGAGGAGGAGGAGGAGGAGGAGGAGCCCGAGGAGGAGGAGGAGAGGGTTGAGAGAGTAGGGAGGAGGAAGGAGGGAGGAGGGAGGAGGAGGAGGAGGAGGAGGAGGAGGAGGAGGAGGAGGAGGAGGGATGGAGGAGGGAGGAGGGAGGAGGGAGGAGGGAGGAGGGAGGAGGGAGGAGGGAGGAGGGAGGAGGGCGGAGGAGGAGGAGGGAAGAAAAAGAGGAGGGATGAGGGAGGGGAGGAGGAGAAAGAAAGG